ACCTTTCTTCAAAGCTTCAGAATTCATTTGTAACCAAATAAGGATATAGCTCCTACGCATCTGTTTCCTACACACGTTTCTCTTCATTTCACCGCAAAAACTATGTAATTTATAGGAAGTCAATTTAACTTCTTTTCTTAGAAATAAGAAGTTACTAATTTCAAGGCTATTTTTAGAGGTATTGGCGGTTTACAATTTCATTCAAGGTTTGAGAGAATGTTCTAATTATTGTCATAATTTGTTACACTTATTAGTAAAAGAGAAGCCTAATACAAAATATGCCAAACTAGCAAATAATTAATTTAAAAGAAGATAAAATGAGAACATTAATAAGAAGTATAAATATAGAACCAATATATCTTAAATTTCAGTGAAGCAACCAACTTTTTTTTTTTTCTTTGTTTTTTTTTTCAATTGAGAGCAGGTACTGTTTATTAACTGACCAGCTTAGAAAAATAATCATGGGAGACACCTTAGTTCATTCTTCTAATAAGCCTGTTGATCTGATCCTCCCTGTTGCCTGCATCTCCACCTTCTACAAAATGGGTGGTCTTTTTCTTCATTCTGCCCCGTGGAGAAGATAATTTAAAGGGCCACAGGAAGTTATTTGCTTCTTTGAAGCGTTTTCCAACAGTATAGATGTCATGAATCAGATCCTCCATGCAGATGATGCCGTATTTTCCAAGAGATCGAGCAATCAGAGCGTTATCTGTCAAAGCAATTCGCTTCTTTTTGATTTTGCCATAACCACGTTTGTGGATTAGTTCATCTACTGACTTCAGATTTGGGTACCCCCATGCAATATATGGCTCTACAATCCGCAGCATGTTAATTGAAGCCTTGTTGAGCTTCACAAAGGTTCCATTGAAGATTTGACGAAGGCGAAGAAGCTGCAACACTTTCGGATCTTTGGGCTCACACCATTGATACCTCTGATCCTGATGACAAACGCCAGTTTGGGTTCTGCAGGTACATAGAAGTTGCCAGCTTTCCTTGCCATCCTCGCCATTCGAATTTCAGTTCTGTACATCTGCCTATATTCCTTGTGATAATGCTTCGCTTTTTCATAGATAAGCTTTCTCCTTGCCTTTCGAAGCATCTTTTGGGCAAACTTCTTTCTCAGGCGCTTAATCTTCAGCTCTGCGAAATTCCTTCGCTTTTTCTTAAGGGTTTCTGGCACAGCAGGAACCTTCTTCTTCTTCTCTTCTACACCCCCCATGGTTCCAGCCGGAAAAGGAGCCCAACTGTTTTTCTTAAAATATCTGTGTCTATATGAGCAGTAAGTCGGCTGGGATTGTAAAATTCTGTTAGTAATAGCTGAATCACCTTTGTATCATGACAATGATGAAATTACTGTCTCTTGTCACAGCTGTGTGACTTGACTAATACAATTTGGCTTATATAATATTCCCCTGCATCAAATCCACTTTTCTATGATTACATTTTACCTGCAACTGAATAGGTCTAGTTAGCCAGGGAAATAACAAAATCATGCTGAAATGTTTTATTTTAAAAATGTATCCCACTTGAAACAGGCTTTTGTAGTTAGCACTCCACCTTAAACTATTACCATCAGGACTACTAATGACCGGTTCTGTTTTCATCTTGATTTCCATTTCTTTCTCTTTCTCTCTTTCAGTTTGTCCTTGCATGAAACTGCTCTTCTTCTATGTCACTAGTCATTTCTCTGAAGAATGCTTTTTTACCCCTTCATTTTCTCTACTTGCTCTGTCTACACCAGCTTCTTAGATTATCTCATGCAGCCAATAGCATTAATGCCATCCAAATTTTTACAGCCTGTTTTTCAGCTTTGACCTCATTTTGGCATTTCATATTTGTCTGGCAACTGCTTAATCACCCTCTCTACTTCAGTGTCAAACAGACATTTTGAATTTAAAATGTTAAAATCTCATCTTCTCATTTATATACTTTCTTCCTTTGGTTGCTAGAGAAGTAGTATCAATAATACCACTGATATCAACATCACCATTTTCACCACTTGTAATCCTTCCGCTGACTCTACCACTATCAATCTCTTCATGTGAATTATGCATAAGCGTTGTTCTTTGTTTCATGTTTTCTTCAAAGTAGTCATAATTGTAACTATAATATGTAGTTTCCTATGTAATCTGATTTGTGAGTGGAGGATTTATGATGAATTATTTTCATGAGGCTGCTCTGAAATTTTATACTCACTGGTTAGAGATCTGTTGTTAATTTCCTCCCCTGTGTGTATGTGTGTCTGTGTGTATGAATTTCATTTTAAAGAAAAAAATGAGAGAAAATTTATTTCCAGGACACAGAATAAATTAGAAATGACATAGTTTTTTTTTTCTTTTTGTTTCTACTTCTCATTTTATTCAAGTCAAAACAATATAAAAATATTCAGATATTACTTAAGCTGGTTTCAGGATTTTATATCTCTGTGAATAATTTTTTTCTTCTTTCTTTTACAAGTATTCCAACCACATTTTTGGGGGGAGCAGACATACTCATTTCGCCACTGAAATTATGGCAAAAACTGCAGTTACTTTTATACCAATCTAATACATGCTTTGGTTTACAATTAGGTAACTTTCAAAAGGCAGGTGCCAGTGATCAGCCTTTTATCCATGTAATCTTGGGTAGCAAGGACTGGCTTTAATGAACTGTAGTAACTTCATTATAACTTGAACTAAAGGATATGTTGCATATTGGTTTCTTAGTAAATGTTAAACAGGAAGTAAGCATCATTTAGGACAAAATTCTCAGAAAAAAAATAAACATCACATAGAATGTTTACACAAATCTTAGTGGAACTTACTTTGGCACAATTCCTAACAGACTAAGTTACTAACTCTGCTTTTTATTCCTTAAAGAAAGAAAGAAAATAGGGCCGGGCGCGGTGGCTCAAGCCTGTAATCCCAGCACTTTGGGAGGCCGAGGCGGGTGGATCACGAGGTCAAGAGATCGAGACCATCCTGGTCAACATGGTGAAACCCCGTCTCTACTAAAAATACAAAAAATCAGCTGGGCATGGTGGCGCATGCCTGTAATCCCAGCTACTCAGGAAGCTGAGGCAGGAGAATTGCCTGAACCCAGGAGGCGGAGGTTGCGGTGAGCCGAGATCGCGCCATTGCACTCCAGCCTGGGCAACTCCGTCTCAAAAAAAAAAAAAAAAAAAAAAAGAAAGAAAGAAAATAAACGATTTGGCAGTAATGTTGGAGTTTTCAGTTCTATGAAAATTTGTCATATGGTTTGCTAGAACAGATTGACATTGACAGTTTTCAAGTTCCTTTTGCAAGTTATTTCACTTTGTATTTTAAAGAGGCAATACATTTGTAAAGCAATCAAATTAGTCTATTTGTGGCATGTAAACTTTTCATATAATAAAGCTGAGAAAAAGAAACTCTGATTTCTTTTCCAGCTTGAGGGCAATTGACTTTAATACAAGAGAGTGCCTAATCAATAATATATGTTTGTTTGCACTCATAAACTTGAAATGCATATTCAGTTGTCTTATTAGGCATTTAATAGTAGGGTGATATCCTAAATCAAAATTAATTAATATGATTCTAATCATTTCAACGTTTTCTGGGGAAAAAAATCCTAGAAACTAAATTTTAGAAGATGAAACTACTCATTTATTTCTGCTGTATAACAGATGTTGAATGCAGGCAGATAATATTAGATAATACTGAGCATAAATACCAGATCAGCACAGATGCTTAAAAATATTAAAAAAAAAATAGAGTAATTGATTTTCATGACTCAAAAAAGAATCAGGTTAAATAATCGAGGCCCCAGGGCCAGCGAATTAAAGCACATCACTTGATTTTGTGTTTCAGATAACTGCCTAGAGTAAATGAACTCCTCAGGTGAATTTCTGACACAAAGTCCCCGCCTCACAGCCTTCATGTTTTGCATTCCAGCAAGGGCTCTTATAGTTAGACCTTCAGTTCGCTTGTGAACTGGTGCTCTCTAGTGGTGGTGTGAGGTCTTAAGGAAACACCTGCTACTGTGTGGTCAGGAAATAAAGTGCTGGGCTCTCATGTTGTCCTCCCTGTAAACACCTTCCTTTCCCCATTTGGACACCTTTACCAAATTCTATTTCCCATTTCATCATTAGCCAAACACCTGTTAGACAAACAAGTGGGCCAGAAACTGACGGATGTTAGAAATACACAAATAAAAGCTATAGACTCTTCTATTTCATGTATTTCATAAATTATTAATGGCATATAAATTCAAAAGTAGAAATTAGGTAAAAATAAACTTCATCACCGATATTTGGCATTTCCTTTCTCAATTATAAGTTATTGTTCTTAAGTTACTACACTTCCAAGATCTGAAACATTCTAGGTATTGGATTGATACTGAGTGAATGACTGAGTGAAAGAATGAATGCATGTATGGTAGAAGCTATTTTAGGGAAAACAATTTTCAATGCCCAGGTATCATTAAGAGCAAAGCTGCCTTCTCTACCCATGTAGTGTTTATGATCAAGAGAAAAGGCTTAGATATATGAGCAGAAACAGGATTTTGAAATTTATTTTCTAAGCTTTGGTCTTTTGTCCTTTATGTGAATATTCAATCATATGATTTTAATATGTTTTTCATATATGTTTCAACTTTGTATGATGTGAGATCACAGAAATTATATCATCTGTTGCATTTTATTATATGATATCTATTTTTTTCTGATCACGAAGAAGAATCAGGGTGTCTGTTTTCCTTTCAGAGGTCGTTGTTTGCATAAAAAGGAAAAAAACCTAATTTAATTAGATATGTAAGTGATTTGCAGAGCAGTGTGTTTGCAGCTGTTGCAGGACTAAGATTTCGAGAGAGAGTAGAACCAAGTGTATTACTCGTTAGTCTAGGGGAAGCTTGTGTGGAGAAACAGCTCCATGAAGTCAGATTTGAGGCCTCTAAGTCCTAGCCTCAGAATTTTTACTAACTCTAGGTAACTTTGGGAGAATAATATAATTCTTCTTTTGTTCTTATTCTTTGTTTTCAAACAGGGATAACAATCAGCTGACACCAAAGTGTGATAAGAGGTTCTAATGATATAATGCATGTAGAATACACACAAAAATCACTTTGTGTTTGAATTACCACTACCATAAGCAATGCTCAATCAGAAAAGCTAGCTTAATTTTCACCTGTGTCATGTTAATTTGTTCCCTTTCTGTTCAATCAGATGTAGTTCTGGAGACTTCTAAGCCTTGCCATCATACACTTTTTTTCTATATTGGAGCTTAGCCTATATTGTAAATATAAAATCCTTCGAGGCAGTTGCAGCTTTTACTGATATCTTTATTCTCCAGTACCTAGCACATTAGCTGACAAGCAATAAGTGCTTGATTTATTAATTTTTTTATGTATAGGCATTTAATATTAACTTTTAAAAGAATTGGATAATGAACATACAAGTTCAGGGCATGTATTCGTTAAAGGCATGCAAGCAAACACATTTTAAATATCTATGAGAAAAGGCTCCAGGCCAGGTGCAGTGGCTCATGTCTCTAATCCCAGCACTTTGGGAGGCCGAGGCAGGCGGATCATGACCTTAGGATATCAAGACCATCCTGGCCAACATGGTGAAACCCTATCTCTACTAAAAAAAAATTTTTTTCAAAAATTAGCCAGGCATGGTGGTGCATGCCTATAGTCCCAGCTACTCGGGAGGCTGAGGCAGGAGAATCACTTGAACCTGGGAGGTGGAGGTTGCAGTGAGCTGAGATCATGCCACTGCAGTCCAGACTGGTGAGAGAGCAAGACTCTGTCCCCCTCAAAAAAAGGGGGGGAATCCATAATTATTTCAAAAAATTATTATGTGAGATTTTATAGTTTTGTATCTCAAGAATATATTTTTGCACCTCATTTATTTTTAATATGCAGACTTTTCATTTAAATCTTTATTAATTATTTAAAATATGCATTTTAAGGGTCCTCCATGCCTTTTCATAGCTTGATAGCTTATTTCATTTTAGTGATGAAGAATATTCCATTGTCTGAATGTAGCACAGTTTATTTATCCATTCACCTACTAAAGGACATCTTGGTTTCTTCCAAGTTTTGTGAATTGTGAATAAAGCTGACATAAACATTCATGAGCAAGCTTTTGTGTGGACATAAGTTGTCAACTTATTTGGATAATGACCAAGAATTGAAATTACTGGATCATATCGTAAGAATGTGTTTAGTTTTGTAAGAAACTGTTAACGTATTTTCCAAGTGGTCGTGCCATTTTGCATTTCAATCAGCAAAGTACGAAAGTTCTAATACTCCACATCTTTATCAGAATTTGGGGTTGTGTGTTGTTCATACTTTGGATTTTGACATTTCTAGTTGGTGTGTAATGATATGGTTTAAAATAAAATTTTAAATTTCAATGGCTTTTGGAGTATAAATGGTTTTTGTTCACTGGATTAATTATACAGTGGCAAATTCTGAGATTTTAGTACATTCATCAATCACCAAAGTAGTGTATGTTGCACCCAATATGTAGTTTTTTATTCCACACCCCTCTCCCATTCTTACCCTTCTGAGTCTCCAAAGTCCAGTATATCACCCTGCATGCCTTTGCGCACTCATAGCTTAGTTCCCGTTTATAAGTGAGAACATATGGTAGTTGGTTTTTCTGTAATGGCATGTTTTAATGTAAAATTTCCTAATGACATTATATTGATCATATGTTCATAAGGCTATTTTCCATTTGTACATCTTCTTAATAAGGTATCTGTTCAGATCTTAGTCCCATTTTTTAATCAGGTAATTCATTTTCCTATTGTTGAGTTTTAAGAGTTTTAATCTATTTTGGCGTATAGTCCTTTATCTGATATGTCTTTTGTTAAGTATAGTCCTTTCGTCTGTGGCTTATGTTTTCATTGTTTTTGTTTTTTGTTTTATTTATTTTACTTTAAGTTTGAGGATACAAGTACAGAATGTGTAGGTTTGTTCCATAGGTATAAGTGTGCCATGGTGGACTGCTACACCTATCAACCTGTCGTCTAGGTTTTAAGTCCCACATGCATTAGCCAGTTGTCCTAATGGTCTCCGTTCCTGTGCCTCCCATCCCCCGACTCACCCTGGTATATGTTGTTTCCTTCCTTGTGTCCCTGTTTCTCAGGTCAGGAGTTGAAGACCAGCCTGGCCATCATGGTGAAACCCCATCTTTAAAAACAAACAAACAAACAAAAAGTGTTCTCACTTCCACTTATGAGTGAGAACATCCAGCGTTTGGTTTTCTGTTCCTGTGTTAGTTTGCTGAGGATGACAGCTTCCAACTTCATTTATGTCCCTGAAAAAGACATGATCTCATTCCTTTTTATAGCTACATAGTATTCCATGGTATATATGTACCACATTTTCTTAATCCAGCCTATCATTGATGGGCATTTGAGTTGTTTCCATATCTTCACTATTGTGAATAGTGCTGGAATAAACATACATGTGCATGTGGCTTTATATTAGAATGATTTATAATCCTTGGGGTATATACCCAGTAATGGGATTGCTGGGTCAAATGGTATTTCTGGTTTTAGATCCTTGAGGAATCACCACACTGTCTTCCCCAATGGTTGAACTAATTTACATTCCCACCAAGGGTGTAAAAGCATTCTTCTGTCTCCACAGCCTCCTAGCATCTATAGTTTCTTGACTCTTTAATAATTATCATTTTGACTGGCATGAGATGGTATCTCATTGTGGTTTTGATTTGTGTTTCTCTTATGATCAGTGATGTTGAGCTTTTTTCATGTTTTTTGGCCCCATAATGTCTTCTTTGAGAAGTTTCTGTTCATATTCTTTACCCACATTTTGAATGGGATTGTTTGTTTTTTTTCTTGTAAATTTATTTAAGTTCCTTTTAGATTCTGGATGTTAGACCTTTGTCAGATGAGTAGACTGCAAATATTTTCTCCCATTCGGTAGGTTGGCTCTTCACTCTGATGATTGTTTATTTTGCTGTGCAGAAGCTCTTTAGTTTATTGAGATCCCATTGGTCAATTTTGGCTTTTGTTGCAATAGCTTTTGGCACTTTTGTCATGAAGTCTTCACCCATGCCTATGCTCTGAATGGTATTGCTTAGGTTTTCTTCTAGGGTTTTTATGGTTGGGGTTTTTTGAGTTCATAATCATTCTGATACCAAAACCTGGCAGAGACACAACAACAACAAAAAACTTCGGGTAAATATCGCTAATGAACATTGATGTGAAAATTCTCAATAACATACTGGCAAACCGAATCCAGCAGCACATTAAAAATATACATCACAATCACATTGGCCTCATTCTTGGGATGCAAGTCTAGTCCAACATGTACAAATCAATAAGTGCAATCCATCACATAAACAGAACCAATGACAAAAACCATGATTATCTCAATAGATGCAGAAAAGGCCTTTGATAAAATTCAACATCCCTTTATGTTAAAAACTCTCAATAAACTTGGTATTGATTGAATATATCTCAAAATAATAAGAGCTACTTATGACAAAGCCACAGTCAATACCGTACTGAATGGGGAAAAGCTGGAGTCATCTCCTTTAAAAACTGGTGCAAGACCGGGTGTGGTGACTCACACCTGTAATCCTAGCACTTTGGGAGGCCGAAGTGGATGGATCACCTGAGGTCAGGAGTTGAAGACCAGCCTGGCCATCATGGTGAAACCCCATCTTTAAAAACAAACAAACAAACAAACAAACAAACAAAACTGGTGCAAGACAAGGATGCTCTCTCTAACCACTCCTATTCAACTTAGTATTGGAAGTTTTGGCCAGGACAATCAGGCAAGAAAAGGAATAAAGGGTATTCAAATATGAAGAGAGGAAATCAAATTTTCTCTGTTTGCAGACAACATGATTTTATATTTAGAAAACCCCATTGTCTCAGGCCCAAAACTCCTTAATCTGATAAGCAATTTTAGCAAAGTCTCAGGATACAAAATCAATGTGCAAAAATCACAAGCATTCCTACAGGTCGTACCACCATGCCCAGCTACTTTTGTATTTTTAGTAGGGACAGGGTTTCACCATGTTGACCAGGCTAGTCTAGAACTCCTAACCTTTTGATCCACCCGCCTCAGGCTCCCAAAGTGCTGGGATTACAGGCGTGAGCCACCATGCCTGGCAAATTTATTTCTAATGTAATCTTTCTATCTGCTTGCTTTAGGCTTAGGTCATTGTACTTTTTACTTTAATATTATTATTCCTTCAGGTAGAAGCTTAGGTAATTATTTGAGATTTCCTCTATTTGAAGAGTATAGCTTTATAGGTATAAATATTGCTATAAGAATTGCTTTATTTGCATACCATAATTTTTACACGTTATCTTTATTTTTCATTTGTCAAAAAGTATTTTCTAATTTCCCTTGCGATTTTGATCCATTGATCCATTTGATCCTAGCTGTAAGTTGTTTAAGTTCCACACACTTGTAAATGTCAAAAATTCTATGTTTTTGATATCTAATTTTATTCAATTGTAGTAGGAAGACATAATTTATATGATTTTAATTTTTTTAAATTTGTTGAGGCTAGCCCAGGTCTCTTATATTGGCTGTTCATTTGATATAATTTTACAGACTTTTACTTTCAACCTATTTTTATCTGAATCTGAAGTTTCTTATGTAAATGGCATATGGTTGAATTGTGTTCATTTAATCTAGCTTGACAATCTGAGCCTTTTGATTGGTTAATCCATTTCCGTTTAATAGAACTATTAACATGGCTGGTTTTATGTCTGCCATTTTACAGTTTTCTGTGGGTCTCATGCCATTTTTATTTCTGTTTTGTATTCTTTTTAGAAACAGGTTCTGATTCTGTTGCTTGGAGTGGAGTATAAAGGTGTAATCACGGCTCATTGCAACCTTGACCTTTTGGGCTCAAGCACTCCTTCTGCTTCAGTCTTTTTTTTTTTTTTTTTTTTTTTTTTTTTTTTTGAGACGGAGTTTCGCTCTTGTTACCCAGGCTGGAGTGCAATGGCACGATCTCGGCTCACCGCAACCTCCGCCTCCTGGGTTCAGGCAATTCTCCTGCCTCAGCCTCCTGAGTAGCTGGGATTACAGGCACACGCCACTATGCCCAGCTAATTTTTTGTATTTTTAGTAGAGACGGGGTTTCACCATGTTGACCAGGATGGTCTCGATCTCTTGACCTCGTGATCCACCCGCCTCGGCCTCCCAAAGTGCTGGGATTACAGGCTTGAGCCACCGCGCCCGGCCTTTTTGCTTCAGTCTTAGTAGCTGAGACTACAGGCACATGCCACTGTGTCTGGCTAGCTTTTAAAAGCATTTTGTAGAGACAGGGCC